TGGACCTTTGGTCTGACCCAGGACGGCCATTGTAAGCTCAGGGCTCAGGGTTGGGGGTCTCAGTGGACCACCTTGATTTTCATGCACACCTGCTCCTGGGTGGCCAGGCTGGCAGCTCTCCTGCCCTAGACGGCCACTTTCCTGTGCCTAGTGCAGAGGTCGTGGACAAGGTCCACGATGTCCACACTAGACCAGGCAGATGCCCGCCTCTTGCGGTCTCAGGCCTTTAAGGGGTCCGGGTGGGAGGGGGGCAATAGAGTTTCCCTGGTGTTGGCCAGAGTGGCCACCAGGGAAAGTTGGAGAGTGCTAGCCTCCCACTAGTTCGAATTAAGGGGCTACACACCCCTTAATTCGAACTAGTAAGTTCGAACTAGGCTTAGTCCTCGTAGAATGAGGTTTACCTAGTTTGAACTAAGCACTCCGTTAGTTCGAATTAAGTTCGAACTAGCGGAGCACTAGTGTAGCACCTATCAAAGTTAATTCGAACTAACGTCCGTTAGTTTGAATTAACTTTGTAGTGTAGACATACCCTTTCTCTTTTCTTTTTATTAACCTGGTATTGGTTAATATTTGTGTTCTGGTTTGAACTTTAGGGGTTAGATTCCCGAAATAGTCTCTCCCTGGTTGCTTTATTAATATTTGGGTGGTGGTGGCGACATTGTATTCCCAAAATCTAGGTTGTTAAGATTTTGGGGGGAAGGTTTATACCAAAACCTGGTAGATAGAGTTTTGTGGTACTTTTGCTGGCCCCCACTTCTGCATTTATCGTGCCAGAGTGGAGAAGGAGCCATGACACATGCAAACCAGCCAGGGCAAAGTGGCTGCTGTCATGTAAAACGGAGATAGGTCACTTGACCATGTGACCTGCTCCACCAGGGAGACACCAAGAATGGATATGAAGTGCCATGAGGCGGTCTCCACCTTGTCTTCAATTCTGCTACTGATCCCAGATGCAGTCTTGCGAGGGACAGAGAGCCGGGAAGGACTGTTGGCCCATCCTGACATAGGATGTACACCAGAGACTTTTAAGAAAGCAGTTTATAACATCTCTGCTAAGAGCCTGCATCAAGAACTTGGTGTTTGGTGCATGTAATGTATTCTCCTTAACAACCTTACTCTCATCCTTTTTGTTTCTTTTGTTAATAAACCTTTAGAATATAGATTCTAAAGGATTGGCCCAGCGTGATTTTGTGGGTAAGATCTAAAGTGCAAATTGACTGGGAATCTGTAGCTGGTTCTTTGGGATTGGGACAATCTGTTTGGGGTAGGTGAGTGGGTTCTATAACCCCTCGCCTGTGTGTAAGGCCCGGGACTGATTGTGGCACAAGGAGAGCTGGGGTGTCTGAGGAGTTTTGCTTGTGAGGCTTCCTGCTGTCTGGATTGGCAGCTAAAGTGCTTGGTGTGACTGGTTTGTGACCTATTTGGGAAAGGTCATCAGTCTGGGGCCGTAAGCAACCCTGGTTGTGAGCAATTTATCCTGAGCGGATGCCCTCAGCGGTGCCCAGCTCCGGCCCAGTCCATCACACCCTGGAAGGGGGATGAGACTGTGCGCTCCCCAATCCCCAGGTCTCAATTGGCTTGGGAGCAGGGGAGCGTGAAAAGTCCCCCACACACTGTCAGGGGCACAGGGCACATAAAGGGAGCAGCCAGTTGTTCAAAATGGAGGGTGGCTCCCTCTAGGCACCAGGCCTTTGTATACACTGCTGGGTTTTTACACAAGAGATCTTCCACAAAAACTTCTTGTGCAAAAGCATGTCCACACCTCAAAAACAAACTGCAGAAGTGATGTGCTTTTGCACAAGAGAGCATTCACGCTGCATGGACATTCTTGTGAAAAAGAAAAAGCACCTGTGCTTTTTCTGATAGGCTCTTTTTGCACAAGAAACCCCTGCGGAGCTTCCACACACACCTTTCTGTGCAAGAGCTTTAGCACAAAAAGGAGTTATTCCTTGTGGAGAGAGGAATAACTTTACTGGCAAAAGCCCTCGTCCTGTCAATTTACTGTATTTTTTTTCCACAAAGTCACGCTTGAGGGGTGGACGCTCGGCTGTTTTTGTGCAAAAACCTTGCAGTGTGGACAAAGCCCTCATAACCCTGGAGGCAAGGAGGGCGAGAGAGTTTGCGCACACCCTGCCCACAGATCCCACTCCTAGCTGGGATGATTGGCCTGCAGGTGGGGGATAGCACAAAGCCTGTCACACCTCAGTGGTGCGCCACCCTGAGCAGCATATGGAAGGAACCTCCTAGAGGAGCCTGGGAGACCCTGTTGGGCTGCTGGCCAGGAGCCACCTAAGATAAGTGACTCCTGGCTACCTCCAGCACCCCAGTCTCTGCTTCTTGCACCTCATTCCTTCCCACTTATCTACTCTCTGCCCCAGGTCAATCACCTTCTCCTGCCCTAGGTCATCACTACTCAAATCCTCTGCACATATATCCCACCCCAGGTCACAATTCCCTCCCAGATCTGGCACCCCTGCTATATCCTTTCCCCAGGCCAAAATTCAGTCCTGCACCCCAATCCCGTCCCATGTCATAACCCCCTATGTCATCCAAAGTTCCTCTCAGACCCTTTCCTACATCCCAATCCCAAACCCTGAGCTCCTTCCTGCACCCAACCTCCATTGCAAGCTTCCCACCCCCAGCATAGAGAAATGCAGCCCTTCACCATTTTCCAAAATCTTGGAGTGCCCACCTCTGCTACAGCTCAATAGTTAGGGCACTTGGGGCATGGGAGACTAGACTGATGAAGAATAGATTTGACCCGGAGCGGAGCAGAGCAGCAGCTGGCTTCCTGGGAGCGGGATTCTGTGTATAACTGTTCACAGTAACTGACAAACCCAGGCTTATCAGTTAGCCATGTAAATGGTTAGTCTATAGCCACACTAATTCCTGTCTGCCTAATTATGTTCATATACCTAAACAAGCCAGGATTTCTCTCTGGGTTTGGGTGTGTTGTAACACTGGCATAGACAAAAAAATGCTGCTTCCTAATTATCCAATGTTTTAGGTATTCTTGTCTGCTTGGGCTACTCCCTGCTTTGTTTGTTCTGCTCCTGTGTACTGGCCACCAACACCTCCCTTTGCAATACAGATAATATGTTCACTAATTCACTTCTCAGAATTTTACCCTTAGTTATACTGAAGAGGTGAACTTCCATTGGGTCAGCCATCCCTGGACCAACCACCTTCCTCAGCTCTGAGGCTGCTTTGGACTGTCCACCCCACCATCACAGCTTAGCAGCCCCCATGCTGTTACAGCCCCTGCTGCCATACTGCTTTCCTTGTGTCCCCCGCAGCCGCTGGGCTCCACTGGGACTGCCCAGCACCGTGGCTGCTAGATTCTGGTGCTTCTGGCTGTCTCCATTCTAGCAAAAATACAGGCACCTCAGCAGCGACCTGCTCGTTGCAGGAAAAAATGTATCCTGATCCCTCACACTTCCACTCACAACACAGCTGCCGCGCCAAAGAGTTAAATGCCCCCCGCCCCGTTCAACCTCCCAGATGGCAGCTTCTACTCGGACTCGGACTCGGTCAGCCCCCTCCGGTACTTGGAAGAGGAGCCCCCTTCTTCCCCCTTCTGCCCTTCTTGTTTGAACCTGAAAGTACAGTTGCTAACTCACATCAATCACTCTGTGCTGTTCGAACTCTGCCTTTGCTTGTTTCCTGTGCCTGTGTCCCGGCATGTTAAATGTTCCCGTGCTCGAGCTCACCTTCTTATGCCTGGATTAATGTTTCCTCACGAGCTTGCATCTGCTCCTACCAGCTACTGCTGGTTTTGCTTGCTGCGCATAACAAAGAGGCTCCTCCTGCTCACTGTTTGTACCTTTATACCTTCTGGAGCTCACATTTCTGAGGAAGTGAGTCAGTGCTGCAAACTGTGTGCTGTCCATCTCATTGCAGCAGTTGCTGACCTCATTCCCTCCCCCTACCTCCAGCCATAAAGCAGAGACTTTCTTCTTCGGTAAATCCAGATAATCCTCCCTCCCCCCAATACACACACTTAATTGCTGTGCAGTCATTTTCAAAGAATCTGTTCCCATGTAGATATTGCTGGCATCGGTGGTGAGTTTTATGCTCCACACTTCTGAAAATCAAGGCCATGTCTTATTAGGTGCTTAAAAGAATAATTAGGAGTCTAACTAAATATCTCTTTAGAATGGTATCAGAAAGCTTTGCATTCTTATTGGAATTTTCACTTGTTCATTTAGTGGAGTAAGAGGAAAACCAAAAAGTTTTTAAAGAAAATAAATGAAATCGCATTTGGAATTAAGGCCATCAGTTCCAAAAAATCTAGAGTTAGCCACTCATATCCATACTTTGTCAACTAAATAAGTAGCTTGATTTTCAGAATTGATGAACAACCTGTTGAAAGTTAGATATTAGGTATTATTGTGTTACTTGCTTGGGTTGTTGCTATAGATATAAGATATATAGATTTTACCCGTCCATGTGTGAAAATTCTGGGCTATAGGAAGTTCACATAAAAAGCTCCATAGTGGTTGCTTAGTATACAGCCTGTCTCTGACTTACGAACCGGTTACGGACCAAGCAATTGGTCATAACTCAGTTTGTTTGTAAGTTGGACCCAATTGAGTTACATGTGACCACGCTGTTCATAAGTGTTCGTAATTCGGGGTCTGCCATTTACGACATTTTTGGTCGTAACTGCGAATGGTCGTAAGTCTACCGTTTGCAACTCGGGGACCGGCTGTATATGTGAACATTCTAGTTATGGATGGTGATGTTATCTTTTCCTTGGAATGTGAAGTCTGACATTCCCTTTGTACTTCTACAATCTACTGTCTTATTTTCTTAACAAATAACCTTTCAATAGAACTACAAGAAAGTCATGGAATGAATGGTGGAAGGGAAAGAAAAGAATGAAATGGAATGAGAGGTGACACAGAATGAAGTCCAGAGGACTAATCAAATTAATAGCTGTATCCACTACTAATGATAATTATAGTCATTGCCCTACTTTCAGCCTTATGATTTTTAAGGAACTGGTTATTACAAAGGTTTACCTTTGGGATTTGGTCAGTAAGCGACATAAATTTGCTAAATCAGAGGAGACTGATGATGCATCCAGACCAATATCCTGTCTCCAATAATGGCCAGGAGCAGATTATTCAATGGAAGCTGTTAATTGGAATGAAGGGCAAATTGACAATATTTCATTCTAATCCTCAGATTGTGTCCTGAAATATGTGGGCTATCACCCTTTTAATTTTAAACCCTAGCAAATATAAAAGCAGCTATTTTTTTCATTTATATTAATGATTAATGTTATACTTTTTGCCTCAATAATATTGTGTCAATTTAATTACATGTTAATTAGATATTATGTGTGTGTTTCCGTCTCACTTCTAGATTTGTTACCTTATAATTTCATTATCATTGTCTTTTTTATATTATGAAAAAAGATAAAAGGAATAGCCACGTGATACCACTTTTTATATATCTTTGTTTCATTTTCCTCTTCGTTTAACCTGAATAGTCCTAGTATTTATAATTTGGTTATTGTTAAGTTTCTTCTTTCTAGAGTTTCCTACGATCCTATCTAGTGTTGACCAGTATAATTCATTTTTGTCTTCTGCAAATTTTGGCACAGTTAGCTAACATTAACTTTTAGTCCCTTGATATAAGAGTTAATGATAGATTATAGATTTCTGATAGCAGTTTGACTACTTCATTCTTCAGTTCCCTCAAACTTTTAAATGAATGCTAATATACATCTGCTTTTGGGTTTAAATTGCAGCAATGGACTTAAATTGCAGCAAGGGAGGTTTAGGTTGGACATTAGGAAAAACTTCCTTACTGTCAGGGTGGTTAAACACTGAAATAAATTGCCTAGGGAGGTAGTGAAATCTCCATCATAGGAGATATTTAAGAGCAGGTTAGATAGGCATCTATCAAGGATGATCTAGATGATGATTGGTCCTGCCGTGAGGACCTCTCGAGGTCCCTTCCCATTCTACTATCCTATGATTCTACATACTAGGAGTTTGGTTCTACATTCTCAAAGTCATTGGAAGTTTTTGCTTTGGCTTCAGTGGTGTGAGGAACAAGTCTCTATACATGCATCTAAATAATGGAAAGTGCTATATAAGAGCTGGATATTATTACACTGGGCACAAGTGTGGTGAAGGAAGTGTTTTTTTAAATGTAAGTGGGAGTTGTGACCTGGGGCAGGGAGTTGGGGGGAAGGGGAAGGGTGCCAGGTTCAGGTTCTGGTAGGGAGGCATTTTCGTTAGGTGCACCTAGCCAGCAGTCCAGTGGGATCCTCAGGCCCCCTGCCTGCCACACCATATTTTGCCTGCTCCTGCCTTAAAGTAACCACTTAATGATATTATACTAGGAATGTCTCTGTTCTTATTAAATTAAATTAAATTAAATTAAATTAAATTAAATTAAATTTAAAAGGCAGCAAAAATTGGGGAAGTGACCCACTTGTAATTAAGAAGTAGATTGTTAAAACAGAGAAGGAAAATAAATCTGTTTAATAATTCATCATTGTAAAATTTTCAATTTTCTCAGAATGCACTTTTTGAATATCATGGGAGGTGCAGATGGTCAGCAGTAGAGATGTAAATGAGTAGCTGAGTATACGATTAACTGATAAGTTTAGGCTTATCGGTTAATCTTGTCAACTACACTCATTTCCCCCCCTCCCCACTGCTGCCTCTGTATCAGAGATAGCAAGGGGGGAGACCAGAAGCTGGTACTTGTGGGGAGCTGGATTAAAAGTTGGTTTCCTCCAGTATTGGCTCTGTGGTGCTGTCTTCCCTTTTCACCCTGCTGCCTTTATCAGAGGCAGCAGCGTCGGTGGTGGGGGGCAAGGGAGGCTGCCACGAAGCAGCCTCTCCTCATGGTGGGCCCATGCTGCTTCGCAGCAGCAGCCCCTGTCCATAGGGGTCCAAGCTCCCCATGGAGGGAAGATGCTCCACGGGAGGCAGAACAGCCTCTGTCTAAGGTGAGCCTGGATCCACCGAGGGGAGAGGTTGTTTCACAGCAGCTATCCACAGAAAAAGGCTACTGCAGGGGAGGGGCAGAGGGAAAGGCTGACGTGAACCTCAGATGCCCCATGGATAGCCTCTGTCCATGGCCAGCCTGGGCCACAATGGGTAGAGGCTGCTTCACAGCAGCCTTTCCTCCTCCCCACTGCAGCAGCTTCTGTTTGTAGGAAGCAGGACCCCCCCAAGGACAGGACTGCTGCCACCTCACGCTGCTGCCTCTGATACAGTATGGGGTGGCAGGAGGCTCCCCAGGAGACTATAGAATATTCAAGTAACCACTAAGAATTCATGCTGTTCTCTCCTATTCAATTATTGTATATAGAATCATAGAATCACAGGACTGAAAGAGACCTCAGGAGGTCACCGAGTCCAGCCCCCTGCCCAAAGCAGGACTAATCCCAAATAAATCATCCGAGCCAGGGCTTTGTCAAGCTGATACTTAAAAACCCCTAAGGATGGAGATTTTACTACCTCCCAAGGTAACATATTTCAATACTTCACCATCCTCCTAGTGAAATAGCTTTTCCTAATATCCAACCTATACTTCCTCATTGTAACTTGAGACCATTGCTCCTTGTTCTGCCACCCGTCACTACTGAGAACAGTCTCTCTCCATCCTCTTTGGAACCTCCCTTTAGGAAGTTGAAGGCTTCTATCAAATCCCCCCTCACTCTTCACTTCTGCAGACTAAACAAACCCAAATCCCTCAGCCTCTCCTCATAGGTCAAGTGCTCCAGCCCCCTAATCATTTTGGTCATCCTCTGCTGGACCATATCCACTGTGTCCACATCCTTTCTGTAGTGGGGGGGCCAGTTATTGCTAACATGCCTGTAGAAACCTTTCTTGTTTCTTGTTAGCTGCAATTCCAATTCTGCTTTCACCTTCCTGATTACTCCCCTGCATTCTCGAGCAATATATTTATACTCCTTCCTAGTCATCTGTCCAAGTGTCCACTTCCTTTTTGTGTTTAAACTCACCAAGGATTTCCCCGGTAAACCAATCTGGTTGACTACTGTATTTACTTTTCTTACTGTTCATAGGGATGGTTTGTTCCTGTGCCTTCAATAAGGCTTCTTTAAAATACTGCCAGCTGTCCTGGATTCCTTTCCCCTTCATGTTAGCATCCCAGGGGATCCTGCCCATCAATTCCCTGAGGGAAAACTATCTAAGGGCATGTCTACACTACCCCGCTAGTTCGAACTAGGAGGGTAATGTAGGCATACCGCACTTGCAAATGAAGCCCAGGATTTGAATTTCCCGGGCTTCATTTGCATAAGCCGGGCGCCGCCATTTTTAAATCCCGGCTAGTTCGAACCCCGTGCCGCGCGGCTACACGCGGCACGGAGTAGCTAGTTCGGATTAGGCTTCCTAATCCAAACTAGCTGTACTTGAGGAGGTTCGAACTAGCCGGGATTTAAAAATGGCGGCGCCCGGCTTATGCAAATGAAGCCCGGGAAATTCAAATCCTGGGCTTCATTTGCAAGTGCGGTATGCCTACATTACCCTCCTAGTTCGAATTAGGAGGGTAGTGTAGACATACCCTAACATCCCTAGTCAGCACTTTTGAAAATCAGTCCAATTGTACCTGGCTGCCTACATATTATTTTGGAGACTAATTTTGGACACCTTGATTTGAATATTTTTCATCTCTCTTTTTGACACCCATAATATGTCACTTATTTTAAAGCAACTATGTTATAACAATCTCTTTTTATTGTACGTTATTTTGTAATGGTTAAATATTTATTCACCAGGCATTTATATTGTGTTTTTATATCTTCAGTCTATAATTTTTATTGACCACCTCTTACAGATCATTCCCATGTAAGATGTTCTTAAAATTATAGTATTTGATTTTTTTGGGTATCTTTAATATCTTAGTATGTCTTTTTGTACACTAGATATGCCACTGTAAAATAAGCTTGCTATTTTTGCTGTGATGATGCATTCTGCAGGAAATGGTTATAGTTTAAGGTGACAGCCTCACTAACATACTTTTGTGCGCTTAACAAA